CGACTACGTCGTTTCAAAACACTGTAGTCACTCATGACATGTCTACGATGGCAAACATGTGAGCTAACAAAATATCTCGGGCATACTCTGAATTTTACAACGCGCACAATACACGCTACAGAGTCAACACCATCGTCCAAGAGATCTCACATCTCCATCTACATTACATCACACTCTTCCATACGATGGCGGTTGACTCTCATGTGTCGTCAGTTATGTCAGGTTCGAAAAACAGTTTTTCTATTTCTTTTCTTTCTTAGTCTTTACCAGCGTCCCGTCATCTCATGCACGCTAATAAGACTCATTTGCCTCACGGCAGTCAAGCGTAAACCAGCGGTTGATCTGCCAGAGCCCAGACCCATTCCTGGGAGTCGGTACGTGTATTGACATACGGGAATGGGGTCGAAAAGGCGTCCGGGTAGTGAAAACACGCGGGGTGGAACCATAACGTCCCATCCTCTCCGGCGGAGATACTTCCATCTCACGTGCCGGCAGAGGATGGACGTTAGGATGCAATGAGCGTTAAAAAATTATTTCCCTATAATTCCTGTCCTCTGTCGAGAAGCTCATTTGTCCCACTTAGAAATTTCTTTACAAAAATTATCAGTCCGCGCAATTCTCTTTTCACTATAGCCTTTTTTCTCTTATTCAGTCTTATATAAAAACGAAAAATATCCAACCTTTTTTGTTGACCTCCCGCCCGCCCAAACTACTTAAAGATGGAAAACTGTTACCTTCTGTCATCCTCTATTATATAAAATTTTTTCATTGTTGTTCGACAAAACTTGTTAGTCACCTAAAACATTCCGCCCACTGAACTCTCATGTGTCGTCAGTTTATGTCAGGTTTCGAAAAACCAGTTTTTTCTATTTCTTTTCTTTCTTAGTCTTTACCAGCGTCCCGTCATCTCATGCACGCTAATAAGACTCATTTGCCTCACGGCAGTCAAGCGTAAACCAGCGGTTGATCTGCCAGAGCCCAGACCCATTCCCCAGCGCACATGTGGGTCAAAGGTTGGCAGTTAATCCTTGGTGTGATCACGGAAAAGAGGAAAACAAGAAGCTCTCCACCAAGAAGGGCTTAAGCCTTCAGGCCAAAAAGCGGACATTGGGGGGGTAAGTCCCTCATGCTGCGACATGCGGATTCAACTTGCTTGAATGACAGCTGTC